GGAAAATTAACACAACATTCTCTAAGGATCTGTGAACATAGAGCAGAGAAATGGTACAAGGGCTAGAAATAAGGATTGGAAGATACTATAAAAAGTCTTGGCCATTTCCATAGTGTTAGGATGGGGTTACATGCACCAGTGCTGAGCACATGGTCTTTTCTGTACAGATAGGAAGGAGAGCTTCTAGAATATTTTAAATGCTCATGCTGTCAGTGTGAGCTCTTCAGTGTCAAACACCTGCAAGATAATGTGTCTCAGAGGGAAGGCCATCCCGGGACAGGGTCACTTTAGCTTTGAATCTTCCTTAATGTCTTTCACTGCTTTCTCCCTCCTCTTAATGATGGTGACATAAGTAGACTATGCAGACGTCATTTTACAGTTCACAAACTGACTGCCTATCTGTTGCTGCTAATCATCTCTTGTTTACAAATGAGGAAACCAAGAGGTTTGTTCAGTGCCTCCTAGGCTGAGCCTTCATCCACATGGGAACTTTTATAACAAATGTCAGTGACCATCTGTTTCCATAGCCTATGTTAGCAGCTTGGCTAGGAGAATAGGCCAGAGTTCCCATAGCAGAATGGGAGGTTAGGAAGCTGGATCAGGAGAACAAGTACATGAAATGTTTGGAACAATACACTTTCTCAGGGCCAGTTTTGACATGAATGAGGCCCCTCTATCATGGGTGGCTTGTTGGTGGAAAGCTCCATGTACACTTCCTCTCCAGTGGGAAGTTCTTCATCTCAGCAACTCTCTATTTGCTTTGACATTGGTCCCTGGAGATGTCCTGGATCCCCATTCATTTGGCCAACAGCTCATCACTGAAACAACCCCTTCTTATACAAATCTTTGTGCCATTGGACCCCCAAAGGACATCACAGAATACTCAGATCCAACCATTTTGTCAAATGTAATCTTTCATGTTAATTCCAACATTAGATTAACACAGAACTGGTGCTCTGTTCTTTTGTTTGTTTTGTAACAACATAGCCCTGGCTATGTAGACCAGACTGGCCTTGAGCTCACAGAGATCCATCATCTCTGTCTTCTGAGTACCATGATTAAAGGTGTGCACCACCACGTCAATCTAGGCACTCTATTTCAGGATGGTGTGTTGAGGCCAGACACTTCTATTCATCATTCCCCTTACTGTTCTGCTATAATTACCTCTGGAGCCTCTGGAACAAGTTTCTGGAAACCCAGGGTTGACAGAACACACTTCCAAAACAAACATCTGGCTTTAATACTCATTATGCGACCTGCTTGCCATGGATGCTCCACTACTGGTATCCTTATAGAATGTTCCTCCTCCTGTGTTCCAAATTCCCACTTCCACTGAGGCAAAGCTGGAATCTTAGTCATCACAGTGACTCTTTTCCCCTTTAACCAGCATACTAGGTTCCTAGGACAGCCTTTTTATCACCTTTCTGTGCCTGTTCTGTCCTTCATCTTTCTCAATGTTTATAGACATGGAGCTTTGTTGCCCAGATGGCAATGGTCTTAGAAAGATGCCCAAGCATGTCAGTAGTGATGGTACATGTCTATAATCCTAGCAGTTTGGAGGCCAAGGGCGTGACAATTGTGAGTTTGAGGCCAACCTGGGCTATCTAAGAGACCCTGTTTCAAGAATGAATCTAGAACCCAAGCCAACAAGTTTACCTGATGAGAGCCTTTGTCTTAATAGGGTGTGATATACTCCTGTCCTGAACAATTAAGTAAGTGAGATAAAGATGAGATCTGGGCCAGAAGGCCTTTCTACACTGGCCCTTAGGGAACTTAGATCATGAACCATTTACTTTGTGTACAGGTGGACCTGGTACTGCAAGTAGGTGATAGAGATGAAGGGGATGAGCCATGTGTGAATCATAGAGTTGGCTAGGTTATGACAGCCCATCTCTGCCCCAAAGTTACCTTCACTTGGCATTTGGGACAGGTCACCTTCCATGTTTTGAAGCTGACTTCACCTTCTCAGTGTCAGTATTATGAAGCACAGACTATGTGTGTTGGGTCCCAGACTGTTTTGGAGACTGACCCTAATCCTTTTTAGCCCCCTTCTCACAAGCCCCTCACAGAACCAGCAATCTAGGCAAGCAGTTGAGCTGCACTCAATATCCAGCATGGATTTCCTTTAGAGCTACCTGACTCGCACTGGGGAGGCAGAGGCAGTTTAGACCTCTGTGAGTTCAAGGCCAGCCTTGGTATTCGTAGTGAGTTCCAGGACAGTTAGAGATAACTGACTTCCAAACAAAAACAAAAACAAAAACAAAGCAAAACAGAGCTCCCTGTCTCAAGACCAGATGTAGGAATGAATCCAAGCTAAAGAAAGGCCCATGGCAGGTACTCACTATATACCTTCCCTCTTGAGGCATCTGGGCATCATAAAGGAGAAGGACCTCTATCTCTAAGATCTAACCAAGTCATAACCTTCACTATTGCTAACTTAGCTTGAGGCACCATTGTACACCAAAGATTTTTATAATAGCCCTTCAAAGATCCTCTCTTTCTTCCTCACTCCTTCAAAAATATAAGTCAGTTATCTCTTTTCTGCTCAGAATCCTTCAATAATTCCCCATTTTGTTCATGATGAAACGTGAAGTCCACTTCACGTTGGCCTACAAGGCCTTTCATGATCTGATCCCTACTAATATCATCCACCTTACAGCTTCAGTTCCTGTCACAGATTTGTCTCATGTCTTCTTGCTGCTCCTGGAAACCTGCCAAGCACACCTTATTTCAAGGGCTGTATGCAGACTGGTCTCTCTACCTGGGTCATCACCTTCCTCATCTCTCTCAAATCTGTGCTGAAGAACTGCCTTTAGAGTGTGGCCATCCACAATACTCCTTTTGAAACTATAAATCCTGCTCTTCCTACCCAACCCCTCCTCAATCTGTGTAAACTCAGCATCTGTATCTTTCCCACTCTGCTCTAACTTTTATCACTTTATACTCTAGGTAATTAATTTAAATCATCTATCTCCCCTTACCAGAATGTAAACTTCTCAAGAGCATTAATTTGTTTTGGATTCTTTTTTTCTCTTCAGTGATCCAACTCAGTTGTGTAGAACAGTGTGCACAGTACACTATACCATCAGCAATTATTTCACCTGAAGAAACCCTTCTGGTCATTCACTCTTCATGTAATTGACATCTACCACACTTGTGACTAGACTGAGATACCCTTCATATTGTACATCTTCACTGCATACACACTTGGAGATGACAGGGATATATAACAAACACGAAGACAAGTACATACATGTCTGCTTTTATACATATATTCCCATATGTAAGTGATGCAGGCAAGGTATCTACACTGATAAGTCAGACTTTAAAATTTATTTATTTTTACTATGACTTCAAAGGAACTTTTAAAAAAAACTTTGACCTTATTTTTTGTTGTTGTTTTTGTTTTTCGAGACAGGGTTTCTCTGGTTAGCAGCCTGACTGTCCTGGAACTTGCTCAGTAGATAAGGCTGTCCTTGAATTCACAGAGATCTCCCTGTCTCTGATTCCTGGGTGCTGGGATTAAAGGTGATCGCCACCACTGCCTGAAGGAATTTTTTTTAACAAAATTTGATTATAAAAAGTTGAACCTACTGAACAGTTTAAAGAACCATGTGAGAACCTGCCACATAGATTGTGCAGATAACATTTTGATCTATTTTACTTGTCACCAATCTGTTCACTACTACAACCTTCTGTCTACCTATAAGACACTGTGTGTACATTGAAAATAAATTGCAAACATATTCTTTACCCCAAAAACATCAATATCAACACAAGTTCAATATTTATTTATGTTTTAGGTAAAATTTACATGTGGTGAAATGCAGAAATTGTAAAACATCCATGTATTGTATTTAAAAGACCACTTTTCATTACACTTATTTATTTATTGTGTTGAGGTGGGACATGATCATGCCAAGGCACATGTATGGAAGTCAAAGGAAAATGTACAGGAGTCGGTTCTCACTATCACATGGGTCCCTGGGATTGAACTCAGGTTGCCAGGCTTGGTGGCAAGCACTTCTACCTGCTGAGCCATCTCTTCAGCCTGAGTCATTGTATTTATTAAAATTATTTTTAAAAGATTTGCTTATTTCATGCACATGATTGTTTTGTTTGTGTGTATGTCTGTGCCTCATCTGAAAGCCCAGTGCCCAAATAGGTCAGAAGAAGGTATTAAATCCTCTGGAATTGGAGTTTTGAACAGTTATAGGCTGCGATGTGGGTGCTGGGAATTGAACCTGGGTCCTCTACAAGAACAACAAGTGCTCTTATCTATTGACCCATCTCCCAGCCCCCCCTATTCACTGTATTTTTACATCTGCTCTTGATATATAAAACTCAAAATTTTATCAAGGTATTGAGATCATTACTGCCCCCCAAAAGTTTCCATCAAATTACGTCTTAGTTAATCCTTAGCAGATGCAACAAAATTTCTGATTTTTCATACTAGGCAAGTTTTGTCTATTTTGGAACACCATGAACACAGAATAACACAGTGTGCACCAGCATTTGTCTAATCATTCAATAGGAAATTTGCTCAGCACCAACTATCTGCCCACAGTTATACATGTGATATCTTCACTTCAATGTAATGACCTGAAGGCCTGGCTTGTGACCTCTTCAGCCCTCCAGCTAAGTTCTTACTAAGATCATAAATAGTGGGATCTCCAGAGATGTGGGCCCCTAGTCTGTCCCATCCGAGTTCAGGATTTCTTCCTGCCCACAGCTCTCTCATTTTCAGACAGCGTGGCAATCTCTCACCAGCCCCATCCCACCCACTCACTTCCCACATCAGGGCTTCATTCACTATCCAGGTGTACAGTGGGTGTGTCACAACCTCAACCCAGACCAGAGTTCAAGTGGGTAAAAGTGCAGGTGGGTGGGCAGCTGGAAGGAACTGGACGAGCAGAGGCGGTAGGAGGCTCTGCAGTTCTGTGGGAGGGTGGGGCAAGGGGCGGAGAATATGCAACAGTTGGAGAAGAAAGCCCAAGAGAGGAAACATGGCAAACCCGAGAGCAGTGAGGGTGGACAGCCAAACAGCATTTACCCAGAGCTACTGAGATTCCAGACATAATGTTCTGGCCCACCAAGAAGGACATCAAGACCGCCCTGGAGGTCTTTGCTCTTTTCCAGTGGGCCCTCAGTGCCTTGGTTATAGGTGAGTCTTCAAGCTACTTGGGGCATCCAATTTACACTGGCTTGCCTTGTATTAAAGGTTTGAGGGTGGTAGAATGTTCAATGTTCAAAATTTGTGTTGTTCTAGGCAAACAAGGACAGTTGTTACCCTGGTCTGTGGCCTCACACACCTGGGCAGAGTGTTTGTGAAATCTGTACATGACCACATGGACATGGGCATGGACATGTATGTGTTTATGCAGGACTCTCTCTCTCTCTCTCTTCCTCTCTCTCTCTCACTCACTGTGTGTGTGTGTGTGTGTGTGTGTGTGTGTGTGTGTGTGTGTGTGTGTTTGCCTAGTGAGCACCACCAGGTCTACACTGAGGTGTAGAGGCCATGTTATGAAATCATGGAAAACAAGTTCACTGAAGTCAGCCAAAGGAAGGCTGTGGCTGCAAGCACAGGGAATCAAGCAAACCATGATGAAAGAGTTGACTTCATGGTAGAGGGAATCTTTAGAAACCTGCTGCTGAGAGGAATGTAACCATGTTTCTACCATTTTCAACATCTACACCATTGGCCCTTTGTGAAAATTCCATGTTGGTCATGGTGTTCTATATCCTGGAACGAACCATCACAGCAGGAAGGGGCCTGATAAAAGTCTTGCTTGAACAGTTAGTTCATGTGAATACTGACAGGAGTCAAGAGCATGAATGAAGTGATTTTGTCAGTGCCCTGGGAATGAAGACTATATATAGGCAGGCCCTGAGAGCATGAGCCTGGTAAAGTGCTATGCCTATGAATAGGATCTTGGGTATTTCTTACCTCAGCCAACCATCAGACTAGAGACACAGAGTAAGGGAGCCAAAGCTAGGTACCAGAACAATCTATTACTGAATGATGGATGAGGGTACTCAGAACTGGAAGCAACCAGATAAAGGAATTCTTAAATATTGTTTTGGCCCATGTATTTTCACATGTATTAATTATTTCATTTTAGCTGGTGCTAGCCTTACAAAGTAGAAGCTATGTTAAAAAGTCATACTGATACTGATGTAATGGTAAATAATACTCACATAGTGTTAGCTAACATACACTAGCCTCTTTTTAAATGCTGAACACTAGTCTAGTCATCACATGTGACTAATAATCTGCATTGTGTAGCTGAAGAGGTGAATTCCATGTACTAGAAATCATTTGTCCAATATTACAAGCTAGGCAGTGGAGGAGCTGGGCTGAAAGTATGCTCACAAAGGCTAACATTTTGTCTGAGAATTTCTTTCTTTGTTTTCTGCATCTTCCCACTGATGATTGGGAGGTTGGGTATGGAGCTTGGTGTGCACACTAGACTGGTAGTCTAGTGAGACTATGTTCTTCCTCACACTAAATGCCCCCAACAGGTTGGCAGGAGTCTCGGCTCACTGTGGACTTTTGTTCAGGTTGGTACAGGCACTGTCAATTGTAACTGGAAAAGAAAGTTCAGGGGTTACCACAGCATAGGAAGGGAAGTGTATGGAGAACCATGGACAGTTATAGCTGCTGTAGAGTGAAGTGATATGAAAGTCATAGTCTTATATTTTTGGTTGTGAGCCTAGCCTTTAATGGTTGAGCCATCTCTCCAGTCCATAAGTCATAGTCTTATAGAATTAGTAGTGCATCTAGAAGGAGGCAGGCAGGCCTTCTACATTTGATAAAGCTCTTCAGTGAAAGGTTAAAAAAAATTACCATCAGCTCACAGTGACCTCTCTTAAGTAAGGGCCAACCTCCTTGTGTGGCTACAAGCTCAGCTCTCCTGTCATCCCTCCAGCTGCTGACAGAGGTGACAGTTAGCAGGGAACTGTGGAAAGCAGGTGGTGTGCACAGGCAGGCCTTCATCGTCTAGGTTCACAGGGTGCTTTGATTTTTGTCCCAGGATTCTCATGAGACTTGAATTAGTGGTCTTGTGGTACTTGCAGAGCTTCTGTCTAATGGTATGTACCTGTGATCTGAAATGCTTGAGAGCAGGGGTGTTCCAGACTTTGGATTTGGGAGAGTAGGATGGAATTATCTGCATACACATAATGAGGTATACTGGGGATTGCCAAGACTGAACATTTGTGTCTGTGGTAATTTTTATACACTATTTTAGTGCACCTGTATTTTGACAGTGACCGTCACATGAGGTCAGATGTCAAATTTTCTACTTGAAATGTCATGTCAGTGCTCAAGAAATTTAGACTTTTTTGGATCATTTTGGATTTTGCTTTTTGGATTAGGGATTTTCAACCTGTATTGTATTCTCTCTTCAGTCTTGGCTTGTTACCATCTTTCCACTTTTTCATCATTGTTAACTGTGTTCCTACAAGACAGCAAAGTCCCCAAGGTCAAAGAGCTAAGTTTGAATTTGGGAAGAATGACTATTCATTGAAGGTCTAGAAAGCTTGAACCTTGGCTGCCTTCTCTCCATCTTCAATCCCATCACCAATCAATCTCATTCCTCAAACAGGGCTGTGTTAATTGTGTGTGTGTGTGTGTGTGTGTGTGTGTGTGTGTGCACGCATGTGCATGCATAGTCATAAATGATGGGGATTATAAATGTGTATATAACACATACACATATGTATGCCCACATATATACAAATAGCTATGAGATTACACATATAATATAGGTGTTGAAAATTGTTTCTGAAGTTAAACTAACTGTTCAGATTCTAGCTGTACTATTTATTATCTGTATGACTTTTAGCAAGTTACTTATTCTCTTTCTTTGTAAAATGGGTGTATTTAGGGTATATTTGTCAGGATACTCCAGGTGAAATCTCGTGGCTTAAGTGAACAGATTATTGTCTCTTGTTAATACCAAATGCTAATGGGTTGACAGGAGTCTCAGCTCACAGTGGGCTCTGTTGTTCAGGTTGGTACAGGTACCACCAACTGTAACTGGAATTAGCTTCAGGGGTTACCATAGTATAGGAAAGGAAGTGAATGGACAACCTGTATGGAGTTCTAGCTACTGTGGAGTGAGGTGATAAATAAGTCCCACTCTTCTTTTGAACTTCCTTAATCGTAAATGAGGCTGAGAATCTTTTTGTATGTCCATCAGCAATTACTTACTTTTTGAGACAGGCTCTCACTATGCAGCCCTGCCTGGCCTGAAACTCACTATGTAGATCAGGCTGCCTATGTAGATCTGCTTCTGCCTTTCAAGTGCTGGCTTGAAAGGTGTGTGTGTGGCCACACTGAGCTTGAGTTGATTCTTGAAGGGCAATTAAGAATCTGATGAGGAAGGGATGAGCCTTGGGGGCAGAAAATAGGCAGCACGTGGAAAGATCAGGATGAGTGAGAATCTGGAGTATTCACAGGGCTGACAGTGACTAAGATGGAAGTGAGCTCAGAATGGCTACTTAACTTTTACTGGGTGAAGGAAGGACGGGGAGGGGGAATTGGAGAAACAGTTTGGGGAGAAGCATAGAGAACACTGAAAACTTTAAAGGAGTTTGGTTTTTTCATCCATAATGTCATGTGGAGAAAGAATAGGGTTTGGCATAGGTTGATGACTTTAGGTTTGTGGTTTTGAAAGTCTATTTTAGCTCTTTGGAGTAAAATGACCCCAAGAAAACAGGAAGGGAAATGGTGATATCAAGTTTGGCAGGCTTTTGAGAGAGGATGGTGATTTGTACCAGGCCAGTAGTAAAGAGGTTGGAGAGAAGAAGAAAGGCCATGGGAGAGTCAAGGAATCAGAGAAGAATTAATATAACATGAGGATCAAAAAGATACCAATGGGAAGAAGAGAAAGCATGATCAAGACTACGGGTCTCAGCATGGGCTGCCAGAAGGGCAGCTGATACAGAAACAGGTCAAGAATGACTGAAACAAGGTGTCCCTGAAGCCCTGTACTTCAAACTGGGTTCTGTTCGGTACAGACAGGTTGTGTGGCAAGAGCTCTTGGTCCTGGTGACAGGATATGTGGGCACCAAAGCTGGCCTTTCTTCACCAATGGGACAGATCTTCTCCCTTGGTTGGGGTACCATATCCATTTGGACTCCAAAGGCCTCAAGAGAAGACTTGTGGAGGTACTCGGAGAGGAAAGGGCAAATACTGGTATTTCGCACTTGAGGAGCTAAGGTTCAGGAACATAAGTGGTAGATCCAAGATTCATCCCATCACAGGGTGTTCCCCAAGCCATGTGCATAAAATGCCTTTAGCTGTGCTTGGGTTTTAGAAAACTGCAAGAGAAATGAGGTGTCCTTTGGACTAGACCCACATATCTCTTTAATTACCTAAGAAATTTTCTGTGGTTTGTGTTCTGAGGCTACAGCTGCTGACCTTTGTACTACCTATAGTTCTGTTCCCCAGCGACAGTCATTTTGGAGTGTGTCTGTTTAAAAAAAAAAATACTTCTGAATTTTGCTATTTGGAGTTTCTGAACACTGATATTATATGATGTAATAATTTTAGGCATTCTCTGTTGACTTTCCAAGACAGGAAATGAGAACTGAGCACTATGTGATATTGCTTGAATATATTACCTCTTCCTTCCAATGTTGTCGTTTCTTCTCTTCCTCTCCCCACCCAGCCTCTGCCTGCTCTTCCTCCTTCTTCTCCTTCTTCAAGACAGGGTCTCTACATAGCCCTGGCTGGCCTAGAACTCAGAAATCTGCCTGCCTCTGCCTCTCCGGTGCCAGGCCCCTTCCAAAATTCTGATAACCTCATTTTGGTTAAATGTCTGACTACAATTAAGAAATAATTGTATTTTCCTGTGTGACTTGTTCTTTTCTTGGAACTAACATTTTATTTTCTTGGAACCAGTATTGTATTTTCTTGTGTGTCTTCTTGTTTCTTGGAACTAATAATTGACTAATTTACATTTTTAATTAACAATTTTTAAGATTTATTTATTTTTACTGTATACTGTGACTGTTTCACCTGCATGCATGTACACCATGTACTTGCCTCTTGGGTCCTCTGGAACTGGGGTTACAGATGATTGTGAACCATGATGTCAGTTCTGGGACTCAAGCCCAGGTCCTCTGCAAGAGCAACAAGTGCTTTTAACTGCTGAGCCATCTCTCCAGGCCTTGTTTTTGATTTTTTTTCATTTACTAGATATCTTTTAGTTTTTCCTAATTTACCCACAAGCATTTCACCCACATGGTCATCTTTCAGTCTGTGCAAACATATTGGGAATCTTCAATACTCCTCGTGTTTTCTTCCCTTGAGGACAGTATTGCTGGAACCTAGCATCTCCCTCTTACTGTCTGGCCTTATGAACAGCTATTATTACCAGAGTGCTTGAGGCAACTTAGGCAAAATTTAAGGTGCTCACTCTTGGGGTATGCAAATGTTAGGCCGAACTTGAATGTGGCTAAGAGTGGGTGTCTCTTTAAATCTGTACCCTAGGAGCCTTGCTTATCTATTTCCAGCCCTGCCCATGCTCAGTTTCCTCTTTTGTTGGACCCCTTTCCGCCATGGATTCTATGCCTTCTCCCTCATTCTGGTGTAGCATGTCATCTAGTAATATTCAGAAAAAAGGAAAGGGGAACAAATTACCAGAGACTGTATATCTGAAATTATCTGTCCTCTCATTTGAGCCATTGTTTTGCTCCATATAGAATATTTCAGTTGTAGCTCATGTATGTGCAGAAGTTCTCCAAGTTATAGTAAGTTGTAAATACTATGAATCATGAAGACATTAGCCAGGTAAGGCATCCTGGCTTCCTAATTCTTTGGAAGCTGAAGCAGGAATACTGCTATGAGTTGAGATCAGCCTGGGCTGTCATACTGTATTGTGAGATTGTCTCAAACCAACCAACCAACCAGCCAGCCAGCCAGCCAGCCAGCCAGCCAGCCAGCCAGCCAGCCAACCAACCAGCTAACTAACCAACCAACCAACCAAGAATGCATATGATATACCTATTGTGTCAAACACCATAGCTTAGTAACACAGCACAATGCCCCATGTTGTTTGTTAATCCTCATGGTGGTGTGGCTGAGTGGAAGCTGTGGCTTCTTGCTACTGTTCACCATGCAACAGAGCAGTACCACCCACATATTGCTAGTTCAGGAAAAGAGCGACATTCAGTTTCTGTTGGATTCCTGTTGCTTTTCCACTACCATAAAGCACAAAATGTTGTAAGTTGAAAACCACCTGTATTTTTTTATTCTTTTCTCATTCAATAGACCCTGAACACAGTTTTCCCTCCCACCACTCCTCCAAGTCCTTCCCACCACTCCAAAAGCAGGCAAAAGATTTAGAGATGCCCTCCTCAACCCCCACTTTTAGGAGATGCACAAGAACACCAAGCTACACAACCATAGCCTATGTGCAGGGGACCTGATGCAGACTCTGTGAATACAGAATAATTTTTGGTTTAGTTTTCAGAGTATAATCCTTCCATTAACTGTTTGCACAGAGGAGAACAGAGCCAGTGTTCTAACTAGTTCCTTGTCAGGAATTCGTTCAGGCTTCTGCTGTTTGAGCCTGTTCTCCATCCCTACCTCTTGTGACACCTGACTTTTCCAAGGCAAGCAGGCTTCCTGCAGGCTTCTCCTTTGCAGGTGCTTAGAGATCAGCTTGCTGCTTTCTGTTATTTCTCCCTTCATCTACTTCACATGAGCAAATGTTTTAGTGATGCCTCTCATCTACTGTTGGCACATTTTCATCTCTTCTCTTTGTGGACCTATATTCCTAAAACATTTAAATCACGTTTGTGAAGTTCCAATAAGAAGTCAAGACACAGTGTGTTCAATATATTATGTCTCTTTGTCTTTTCTAACTTCTATTTGACCCATTTCCCATGTCATCTTACTCTTGGCTGCTTACATTTCTAGTAGTAACTCCCAAGTGAACATGGCACCCATGAGTGACTCTTTAGTCATTCTTTCCCATCTTACTTCAGCTGAGCACAGACCCTTATCTTATTCTAGTCCAGCTTTTGTTTTCCTTTGTTCCTTGCTTTGTGTGCTTCCAATCTGGTGAAGATAGTGTTAGCTTCCTCTGGCATCCCCTCCACTGACACCTTACAGCAGTGGTTCTCAACCTTCCTAATGCTGTGACCCTTCCATACAGTTCCTCATGTGCTGATCCCAACCATGAAGTTATTTTCATTGCTACTTCATAATTTTGCTGCTGTTACGAATTGTAATGTAAATATCTGATATGTGGGATAGCTGATGTTTCACCCCCCAAGGGGGTCACGACCTACAGGTTGAGAACCACTGCCTTACAGGGAAGATGTTCAGAAACTATAAGTCAGAGAAAATTGTTCTAAGAGTTCAAATGCTCCATGGCCATCAGTAGCTCCCTGTGCTGGCCCACACCATATACAAATCCCAGCACAGTGCTGGGGCAGGTTCTGGAGGTGGAGGGGTGTTGTGTTTTGAACCAAAATCAGATTCAGAAGGTCAAGGGGGACAGCACTGGGTGCATGGACATGTGGGCCACCTCTAAGTGTGTGGGGGGTGACTGTTGAGAGGGCCTCAGTCAGTGTGTGGGACTTTGGGGTGGATGGAACTTCTCGGGATAATATGGACAGGAGGGATTGTTCACAATTCATTGACTTCAGGCTGGGTTCTCTCTAGTAACCACTGTGATCCTTGTCAACCTCTACTTGGTGGTGTTTACATCGTACTGGTTTATCACTGTGCTGCTGCTCATCTGGCTGGCTTTTGACTGGAAGACCCCTGAGCGAGGTAAGGGCCTGCTGGGATGTATTGCCATGAATTCCTCCTGTTACTCTGCTAATCCTGGGGGGCTCTGGCCGATTCCCAGCTAGTTTTTCAGCCTGTCTCTTCCTGTGCTAGGAAATCTGAGGTCATTTTAAGGTCATGGAAAGACTGATTTTAGAACTGGAGTTAGTAAGAGATGATAGGGGTGGGTGCAGTTAATGAAGCAGAGGCTGGGTCCATGTTAAGTTGTTCTTGATATGACTATTCTAATTGCCATTTAAGATGGAAGGAAAAGGTTATAGGACCCCCTGACCCAGAAAGGGGGAGTGGGGGTGGACAGAACTTGTCTGTGCTTTCAGGAGGCCGCCGTTTCACCTGTGTGAGGAGGTGGTGTCTGTGGAAACACTACTGCAATTACTTCCCAATCAAGGTGAGCTTGGGCCAGCATTTGGGGCAGGATTGGGGTACAAGTGCAAACTCATGAGGGCCTGGGAAAGTGATGACCCCTGGAGATGCATTTTGCACAGCCTGCATGGCTGGAACCCACAATCCCTTTTTTCTCCCAGTTCTCTGGCCAAAAGAGGAGTTTCTTTCTCTGTCTTTAGCTCTCCTGTCTCCACTTTCCCCTACAGATTTTGAAGACGCATGATATTTCCCCTAGCCACAACTACATCCTTGCCTGCCATCCTCATGGACTCATGGCCCATTCATGCTTTGGCCACTTTGCCACTGACACATCAGGCTTCTCCAAGACCTTTCCTGGAATCACTCCTTACATGCTCACACTAGGCGCCTTTTTCTGGGTGCCTGTCTTCAGAGAGTATGTAATGTCTACAGGTGAGTGGCTCTGAGGGCTACTCTAAGAAGAACCACAGGATGTGTAAGAGCAGTGTGAAATCTGGGATCTTTTCAGGTGCTAAACCACTCCCTAGAGTCACAGGCTGAAGAGGATGCTCCTTGCTTTGTTGCTCGTAAGAGAAGGAAGTGGGGAGAAACAGTTTACATGGTTGGGAAGTAACCTTTGGGCCTTTTCTGCCTACCAGGGGCCTGCTCTGTGAGCCAATCCTCCATGGACTTCCTGCTTACTCGGAAGGGCACAGGCAACATGCTTGTGGTGGTGGTTGGTGGCCTGGCTGAATGTAGATACAGCATGCCAGGCTCTACCACCCTGGTCTTGAAGAAGCGGTATGGCTTTGTGCGTACGGCCCTTCGACACGGGTAAGGATAGCTGCCAGGACATGGGGGTGGGACATGGTGGGGAGGATGCCCAAAAGCCTAGCAGAGAAGAATATCAGGCTTTGTGCTAGCTAAAGATAAAGGAAGAAGTATGCAAACAATTGTTAGTAAATAGAGCCATCATTAAAATGTACACATGGCCAGGCATTGGTGGTACACTCCCAGCAGAGGCAGGCCAATCTCTGTGAGTGCGAAGCCAGCCTGGTCTACAGAGTGAGTTCCAGGGCAAGCTCCAAAACAATACAGAGAAATCCTGTCTCGAAAAACCGGAAGAAACACACACACACGCACACACACACACACACACGCACACACACACACACACACACACACATGCATGCTTGCCCATGAGTCCCTACACAGGGAGGACAGAGGTAAAACCATGTATTGTTCCTCAGGCTCACTCCGTCTTGGTTGGCTTGGAATTTGCCTAGTACAGTAGGCTTAACCAGCAAGCCTTAAAAATCCGCCCTTCCTCATCTCCCTAGCACTTGGATTAGAGGCATGTCATCACACCTGGCATTTTTTTTTTTTTTGAGTATGGGTTCTGGGCATTGAACTCAGGTCCTCTAGCTTTCTAGCACTCTAGCTTTTTCTGTACAAATTTTATTCAATTTGTCAGTTAAAAAAAGGACAAAGGGAAAGAAAATCACCTATGGGTTAGAAGAGAGTTGGGCAGGGTGTTGCCCAGGTCCTGCACTGCCCTAGCCTCTCTACCATAGGACTGTGGTTGGACCTTAGAGCAGAGAATGACAAACTTCTTGCCATGTGGGCTAAGGGGATAGAAATCAAATGAAATGGGCACAGTCTGACATCGGTTCAGATTTGGGCATTCCAAAGAATCACTAAGCTAGTGGAAGCTGCTGCTTCATCCCTAAAGATAGCCTGACCTAGGCCATTGGCCACCAGTCAGCTGGGACCTTGGTACAGCTGCATTTGAGGTCTAGGGAGAGTGTACACAGCCCCAGGAGATGCTGATGTTCAGCATGCTATCGTCTGCATGGTTCCTATCTTTCTGAGTATTCAAGGACATGCTTTTTCTTCTGCAGGGCATCTCTAATCCCTGCTTATGTCTTTGGAGAGACGGACCTCTATGATCAGTACATTTTCACTCCTGGGGGCTTTATCAATCGTTTCCAGGAGTGGTTCCAGAAGATGGTACACATCTACCCCTGCGCTTTCTATGGGCGTGGGTTTACCAAGAACTCCCGTGGCCTTCTGCCCTATTCTCAGCCAATAACCACTGTTGGTGAGTGGGCCCTTCTACTGGTTTAAGTTCTAGGATTCACTTCTGTGGCTGAGCCCCAGAACCCTGACTGGTTGGAGGCAGGGAGGCTGGCTGGGATGAGTGGTGAGCAGAGCGTCAGGGCAGAGAGAAGCTGAGCTCCAGGATGTGGGCTGTGATGTGGAGTGAGCTATTCTGATGCTTTTCTTTCCCTTTTCCATTCCCCTTGGCAGTTGGGGAACCTCTACCATTGCCCAAGATTGAGAATCCAAGCCAGGAGACTGTGGCCAAATACCACACACTCTATATTGATGCCCTACGCAAATTGTTTGATCAACATAAGACCAAGTTTGGCATCTCAGAGACCCAGGAGCTGATGATAGTTTGAAAGACATTCCCCTGGCTGGATGGTGTGGAACTGGTGACAACAGGCCAATGTTACCCATGGAGCTTCACTTCTGACTGCAGCAGTCCTCACTGGAGGGAGGTGGGGGTGTGTCCATTTGATTGTTTTCTATGACCATCCTTTTCCACTTCCATCTCTTTCTCCTAGTTTTTTCCTTTTCCCCTGACTCAGAGAAAACCCTAGGCAGAGAGAGGTTCACTAAAGTCACTGGAGGTTGCTGAGGAAACCTGGGATAGAATAAATAGCCATCTCTGGTACTGTGTGCTCCAGCTAGTCTGTTTGGAGAGCTCCAGGAACTTGTGTGTCTGTCATTTTCATGGCTTCAAGAATCTTATAGGTATGGGTACAAAAGCCAGGGGACATTGGGTTCAAACAGCAGCACATTCAAGTCCTGTGATTTTTTTTTTAAATCATCATCCTATCCATTTTATTAGGGAAGGACTAATAATCCTTCACTTTGCTTACCTTAAAGTCTCTGGCAAGTTTAAATGCTACTGTATGTTACTAAACTTGGTAAACTGGAGAGCTACACAGTTATTCTCCTCTAGCCATCTAACCCATTTCTTACCCCTAAGCAAACAATGCCCTAAGGTTCACAGTATCTCAGTTTCTAAAAGAAAGTGAAGGGTAGTATTTTGAAAGTTTAAGTAATTTGATATCCCTTGGTGACTCTTGTCCATACTTATTTTCCACCCCATAAAGCTATCCAGGAATGGTCAATGGTTTAGATCTAATTTTCCCATTTCTACTCAAGAAAGTTTCCTGCAGTATCCTGGCCCTATTAACTCTGCTCTTGTTTGCTAAGCAAATAGAACGACAGGCTTCCAGCAGCCATTGAAGAACTTGCTTTCTGAATTTCTGAGGGGCAAGCCTCTCACACTTTTAACCCAGTGGTTGTTGTAATCACATATGTTACACAATTTGGTGCTCATGCCCCCTTGGATGGATGTCATCTGGTCCAATCAAGTTTTGTCAAGTTGGTTTAAGACACCCTGTGTACTTACTATGGTGTGATACTCCTTCTCTGTCTTGAATGCCTATCTCATGTGGTTGGCTGTATGACAGAGGTGTGGTCTTCTGCTATTTTCTGCATGTTCTTTTTCTTGTGCCAGAAGTTCTACTTCCTTGACATTTCTTTTCCTTAAAGTGCCAATTTTGGTGCTGGGAATCAAACCTGGGGCCTGACACTAAAGATATGGTCTATTACTGAGCAATATCCCAAGGTGTTCTTAAATTTCCCAGGCTTCTGCAAATGAAACTCTCTCTTCAAAGCAGATAGAGGACCAACCTGGGTATCAGTATCCAAGCCATGCTCATCTAACCATTGCAGGTTCGTGAACATTAATTGAGGGTCACAGTCTCCCCAACAAGGACAAAGGCTGCTGGGGTTGTGAAAAGTTCCATCAACTATTCTGGCCTACCTATTACTGGCTACCTGTTCTTGTGATCTTCCTTAGAATAGCTTGCAAGGGCTTCTCCAGCAAACAGCATGGGGCCAGGCAGTGCAGGCAGCATGGCAGAGTGGAAAGAATATTGGGGAACAAGCCAGGCGGAAACACTTACTAGTTGAGTGGTCTTGGGGGAGCTACTTAACATCCTTGAGCATTTGTTTTGTCTGCAAAATGAGCCAATTTTTGTATTAATGAGGAGTTGAAGGTTGGATCTCATCGAGCTGTTTTGGACAAGGCTTGAAATGTAGATGCCACATTCTCAAGTTGAAGGTGGCCCATGCTGTGTGTTCTTGTCTTGTGACAATATGCTTCTGGCAAGACATCATGCAAAGGTGAATGGAGTGGAGGTATGTAGTTTGGTGGAAAGAGACCACATGGGATGTACTGGTAAGAATTTTAGAATAGTTTCCTTCTGGCGCTCTCACCAAGATGGGTTTCTTGGTCCTTTCCTGGAGCTCATGTGTAGTGGCATCATTTATGAATAAGCATGTGACATGTAGAAGAGCTCAAGCTTATTTCAAGAGTGGGGAGGGGAGCACTTTATTTGCAAAGAATAAACCGTTAATTTACACAAACTTACATCCCTGTTTATATACATTATATATAGTTTATATACACAGTATCTCACACAGGATGCTGACCCCCCAAAGCAGCATTGGCCTGCTCCAGGCCATTCTCACAACAAATCCCCTCACACTTCATCTCAGCTGGAAGCTTTTTGAATAAAGAAACACACCTCAGCTCCCTCCTGGAAAGAGCCCTGAAATGGATTAAGAAAACAAATCAGATTCTGGGGTGCACATGGCCTAGGGACACCTCAGGCAAGGGTGAAACCTCAGGCAACACTACGGAGGCCTAAAAACTGCCTGGCTCTGAGCCAGTCTAGAGCCTTCCAGTCCAGAGGCAGGAGCTGCATAAATGCCTTGGGGGAGTGTGTGTGAGGAGCCAAGTTTGGATGAAGACTGCAGCCACATTCTCTGCCTGGCCAGGCTCCTGAAGGGAGACAAGCACTTTTAGCCTTGAGTCTATGGGTGTATCAAAAAGGAGACCCCATGGGACAGGCTGCCACTTTCCATTGCTGAGTCTAGAGGTGGGGACCTGCTCACTGTCCTAGGCAGGCCATTTTCCCTGTCTGAGCATCAGTTTCACATGAGTAATAGGATGGGATGTAGGTTGGGCTGTATTCCATCTAATTGTCTTTCTAGGTTAAAATTTCTCTAAATCTGTTTGCATTTACTAGAAGATGCACAAAACACAAGCACTCACATGAGGATCAAAGTCCTTGCTTACCTCTAGGGACCTTAGCTCTTGCTTGCTACATCTTCCAGGGAACCAGTAGCTAAATAACATCCAGCAGCTGCATTTTGTGCCAGCCTGGCTTCTCAAGCTCAAGTAGCTGGTAGAGGCTCCTGCCATGAAAATTCTTCCTTCAAATCTGTCAACTGTTGACCCAAACATGTCCCATTCTCTATGCTAGCCTTGGGGTACCTTCACATCATAACAATTCCAAACTGTAAATTTATATCCCTATCCCTCATCACTAAAATGCTTCTCCACTTTGCCAATGATCACAGCACAACAGACCTCCCACTCTCTACTACTGCCTTCCCCATCCCTCTTCCTGCAGGGCTCCTTGTGAGGGTTTAGAATGAACAAAGGGTGGTAAGAAGCCTAATTCTCCTATGATCTCCATGCACAGAGAGTGTGATGGATAGGGTTGGCATGTCCTGCAGGGGGCACAGTTAGGAAACTCCTTTCCTCACAGACATCTGGCTTTGGAATAGTCCTCTCAAATCCCCCGCCCCACCCCGCTCCCCGTTCTTGAGAGACTCTGGCAACGTCAAGGTCTTTGTAATATGGCAGATGGAGAGGAGTCCATGAAACTACAGGAAGCAGACTGGCTCCCAGCACTTGGGTCTAGGGTTAGGAATGGAAGTGTGATGGCTGCTGCTTCTATCAGATGAGTGAAAGATCCTGAAGGCTACCCGTTCTGTGGGACCCAGAGCTTGAATGGAAGATTTTTTTCCAAGACAAGAACTCTTAAGGTTCATCGCCGGGACTGTTTCCCAAGAAAATACCCAAGTCTTCTTCCAAAGAACCCCTGGCAGCCAAGAGAACAGGTAGTGCTATCAAGTAATGAAAATTGGGCATTGCTAGGTTTCTCCCTAGGACCCCCAATGATTTCAGTTCCATACGATCACCTCTCTTTGTCCTTCCTGGACCCTAAATTCCACACAGAGCTGTGGTAAGGGGCTATCTTGGGAGTGAGACCTCATTAAAGTCTCAGGTCTGTGACATATGCTGGGTGAGGTCTTAGTCAAAGCTCTTTACCCCTCCCAGCCTTCCCTATACAATGGAACTGTGATATTTTCTATCCTGCCGTCTTCAATGGAAATAATAAAAGAGGCGGTGATCTTCAAATACCAAGGAGAGTTAGCTAGTTAGTTCCTGCTACCACTGCTGACTGTTCAAGGCCTTCAGGATCAGGTGCACATCTAAATTTTCCCTCAGTTCTGATTGCAAGGCTGTCATTGGCATTACACAAAAGAGGCTTGGCCTCCCACCCCTTGCACTGACCCTTTCAGGACCAAGCAATGTGGCTACTTGGCAATGAAGGCGGAGAAACCTTTGGTTCTTGATGAATGTCAGGGATAGATTCTCCATCTCTTCAAAAAGAAATACATTTCAAGAGCAAGAGGAGCAGGCTGTATAAGGTTGATCCTTCCTGCTTTGGGCAGCACCTGGCACCTTGAAGCCAGGCAATTGGAAAGAAACTTGGTGAATAATCCTAGCATATGGCCATGTAGGAAAATTGGTGGAGGTGCCTTTGGATCTGAACTAGGGGTAATAGCCCTGCAAAATAGCCAGACAGTTTGTTTCTCTTGAGTCTGGACCTAGAAGACTGGCACAGACCTCTATGGTGATAGTAATCTGTTTCTGAAGAAAGACGGAGTTAAGTGGGCCATCAGCTGCTGTTCTTTCAGATAAGACCTGACCTAATCGACACTTGGGTTAATCTAATGGTCACTTGGGTTGACCGAATGACCACCTGGGTTGACCTAATGATCACTTGGGTTGCCACAAATATGGACAAAACTCCCTATCTTAGATTTCCACTTATCCCCTTTCTGGGCAAGGTATAAAAGCCCTGCTTTGTAATGTCTAAGAGAATCTAGGGTTTGGGAATTCAGAGGTCTACTGTGGCAGGTAATACCCATATTCAAACTCTAAAGGTCTTTTAGAGGTCATCCTGTTTAACCATCTGTTCCCAGACACAACTCTGTTAGAATTAATGACTAATAATGATTGCTTAATCAATGGACAAGTCTTCGTGCCCAGGTTATTTAAAAACTACACCAGACTCATGCGAGCATGAGTCCCACATGAGGCACCTGTCTCAGACAGAGGTAGGCACTGTGGAGAAAGACGATAGGATTTCTAGGCAGTCTGGGGAGGGTGACTGGTGGGAAGACTCCAGGTAGTTTTCAGAGGGTGGAGCATAGCTGTAAACAAAGAGACATGTAAGGCCCCAAGTATAGATTTGGGTTCTTACGTAGGCAGGCTTGTGGCCTTGCCTGCAATGATTCCAAGGCAGAGCAAAGTTCCCAGCTCTGCAGTCCAGCAAGCTGCCACAGTGTACCTCTTGGCCTGAGTGGGAGGAGTTTTTTGAGCCTCTTGTAGGTTATAGTGCAATACAGCAAGAATGGCTCCTTTGCCAAGGATGCTTGCTTGGCAGGTTATTGCCTGGGTCTCGACCACAAGCACTTGCCTTCTTCTGACCTGATCCTTTCCTTAAGTTGCAACCTAATACCACTTCCAGTCAAGAGAGAAGCAGCAGCCCCTTTGGAGTCAGACAGTCACCCCTAGAATCTGGAGTGCACTTTTGCTTTTTGTGGCCTGCTGTCTTAGATCCTCAGTTTAGTGCAACAAATGATAAATCTGATGAGGGACCTAGGGATTGAGGAGTCACCACAAGTCAATCAGCAGGTAGCCTAAAAAGGCTCTGCTTCCTGAAAACCCTGGGGCTTCATCAACTGTCCTGGCAACTCAAGGTCATTCTGGGAAGTCAGGTAGGCCTTGTCATCCTGGAGTCACTGGGGAATAAATAGCACTGGGGCATTTTTCTCTGTGGCTGCAATGCCAATACACCTCATTCCGCAGCAGCACTTAGAGGTTCTGGGAGTCCTGGCTCCCAAACCTGGGGCAGGGGTAAGGGCCAGGATGGAATGGGAGAATCTAGGATGCAGGGGCTTCGCCCAGCCTGATGGCCCCAAAGAAGGTGGTGTGCTTGCTCATATTGATAGAGATGTCAGCGTGCACCATCTTCACGGCAATTTTCTGCCTGGCCTTGAGGAGGCACACGCCTGCAGTATAGCAAGTGTTGTAGTTGGTCTTTCCTGTCTCAATGCTGCGGGTGCACTGCAGGAAGGGCTTCTCATCCACCACCACCTCGTAGCTGGCAAAGTCAGTGAAGTTGATGTAGTACACCTGGGTGAGAGGCAATGAGAAGGGATTGGGGGAGAGAGGAAAAAGAAGGTGGGGCCCTCCCCTGGTGAGCAGATAAAACCTCCTCAGATGAGCTGCCAGTATACCCTGTGCAGGGGACAGTGCTACCCGAAAGTGTGCCTGTTCAACAGGAACATCAGGGTGAAAGGATCACTGCCCTTCCCCTGCTCCATGGGTTCAGGGGGCTGAGCAAACCTTTCTTACAGACTGCTTGAGTCCAAGAACTGTGCCTTACTTGCCATTTCACCAGCCCCATTCCTTAGCCCTGGCATGAAGCAATGCTTTGCACACTGATGGGGGTGCTTAATCAATGCTTCGGATACACTGACTTCCAGTTCCCATCCTAGAGGCTATTTAGGAATACACTTAGGAATCCCTGAGGCCCGAGGGAGGTCACAGTAATGACTTCCCATTTCTTTAGCTTGTGAACAGAAACGTCCAGAGCTTGTAACCTAGTCTCCTGTATTGCACGCTTCTCCTCGCTAGCACACTTTTGTTCCTCTTACTTGCTGACTGAAGAAGCAGGTCCTGAGAGATGGAGGGCTAGGCCATACAAATATGACAATGGATTTAAATCCTAGTCTCCTAACTTCATTCTCAGGCCAGGAGGAAGTATCAGCCTATGACCTGGTCTCATGGAGACTTTCTTAGTTCTTAGGGGCCACACCTAATCCTCCCCTGGATCCAGAAATTTAATTTCCACCCTTCATTACTCTTTGTCAGCACATCCCACTCTGAGCTTTGATTTTTCACCACTACCAAATGGAATTTAGTCCACAGGATATTGGTGCTATGGCTACATGCTCCATGGGAGTGGGGATCTTCTTTCATCTGACACCTTAAATCACTTCTTCAAAATGACTCCACAGGGTCTTTGATTGGAAAAAGCGTATTTAAGTGCTGCATAATCTCTTGGGTCAGGACCAAGCTATGTGAGGACATAGTGTGTGCCAGGCAGGTGCTTGTTAGCCCAACTTTTCTGGTCACTTTCTCTTGAGAGCCATTTGTTGGCTCCTCAGTCCTTCTGTTCATCTGCCCATTTGCTGCCTGCCTCCCAGAAACCATAACCTCAAGGCTTATCTGCTTCTAGCTCTGAGGAGAGCCCTGACGGAGGCACATATGAGGGATGGAAACGGATGGCCACTGGCAGACCTGGGGGGAGTGGGCCCAGGGCAGGAAAAGGACACAAGTGGAGGGGAGAAAGGTCTGGGAGAATGACATAAAGAAGGAGGCAAGAACAACAGAAACAGACAGAAACAAATGGGAGAAAGAGGAAGGAAAGACAGTCAGAAATCTTTTTGAGGTAGAGAGAAGGTCCGCAGGAGCACTGTCCATTATCATGCCCAAGCTAGCAGTGTTGTGGGGGGGGGGGTTCTCAGTAGCTCTGTGACTTAGTCTCAAAAACTTAGAGCAAGGTCAGGTCCATCTGTGGAACCAAACAACATAGAGGGGAAACAAGGGCCTGGGACCCTTCAAGAGGGAGTCAGACAGCAGGGTGTGGGAGGGGTCTCTTTATAGTTTTTCCAGTGATATTTTGCTAGGGAAAACATGAAACAAGTTCCCTTGTTTTTTCCTCCCTTCAACTCCCTCCCAATGTGGAGTCCACCACCCCTTTCCCCAGCAAAGCAGGAAGTAAGCCATTGGGTGGTCTTGGCTTGCTCCACAGTGCCCCTAGGTGGCCTGCACCAGATCTGCACCCTGGATATAAGAAGAGTTAGGCCTAAGACCGTACTCACTTCTACCTGACTATAGATGAAGTAGGTGCCGTCCACCAGTACCTCCAGCTCCCCGCTGCGGGGATGTAGCTTAAACACCTTGGGGTTCATAGTGATGCGGGACCAGTCATTGAGCACTCCACCTGAAAGATCTCAGTATAAGAGAAGGGCAGACACTCAGTACATGTCAAAATAATCTGGGAAACAGAAATAAACACCAAGCAGTACCACTCCCTCATTCCCCACCAACCCTACCTAGTCCTGGTGACCACAAAAGTCTCAAGTGACAAGCTTTAGGAAGAACATTTGGGAATGTTCTTGGCATACTGTTTGTGAAATGGTTTCTAGGCCTGCCTCAGGACCTACAGATCGGCATATCAGTCATCATCCTTGCGTTCTTGACCTTTCATCAGCAAGGCTCTTTACCTTCTACCTGGAATCTGAGGTGGTGAGGTGGTGATGGTGGATGAGGAGAATAGGTACATAGCCATATTTTCTTTGTTGTTATGGTGACTGCACAGGCAAAATCCAGACACTGAGTGGCAGGCTAAGTCTTAGTATTCAATTTCACTTTTCCTGGCAATATCACCCGAATTCCTCTCTTGTCTCAGAGGTTCGTAATTTTTTTTTTTTTTTTTTTGCCTTCTTCTTAATAGATTCTATTCTGTGGCTCCTCCACACCCACTCCTTCCTGGGAAGCCTCCAGAGGGCCCCAGGAAACCTCTTAATCAAATGATCCATCTGTCTGGAGAACTAGACAGGTCAGTATCAGGGGTGATCACTCACACTCCAAGGCAGCTGGGGATAGTGACCACCGTAACCAGGTCCCATGGGTGAGGGACAGCTCTATGATACTTGGGAATAACCCACTAGGTTCCAGTAGACCAGCTAAGAGGATATGGGGAAATGCCTAGGAATTGAGGCACTCTTGGCAAAGCATCTGGTTCATATCCCTAATTCGGTTGGGACACAGCATGAAAGGACAGAGGAGCATTTCTCGTTCTACCCTGCAGATAGAAAGATATTCGTTCCTACCACAAGAGGGGGGAACCTACACACCTGGGAGCGCTTGCTCTACAGCCATTTTGTTCTTCGCACAAAAAGATTATGTTTTAAACATCCACCCTTGGCCAGTCTCACAAGGTCTGCCTCTTTGAAGTATGAGGAAAAGGGAAGCCGTCTGAGTTAGCAGTAGATTGTGGCTCCAGTACTTGAGTGAACCTCTCTGTCTAGTGCCCTCTCACTGCTGCCTTTCTCACTCTGGTGGTCAGTGTAAGCTGCTACTCGGAATTAATTAGCCTGAGAGATTAGAAGTTGTCTTGCTCTGTTACGGTAATGGGGGCAAAATGAGTGGCTTCTGCCATAGAAGGAACACGAGGCCACCACTTTGATACTCAAGCAAATCTGGTTCCTTTCTGACCATGCTCTTCCAGGTGGATGGCGATTATGGCCCACCCAGGACCATGGGTCCCACAGTGCTTAATCCTCTGCAGGGGTCCTAGGGGTTTTCTCTTCTCTGCTCCCACTCGTATTTGTGAGGCTATTAGGCTGGGGTGGTGGTTTGGATAGAGATGGACTCCCCAGAATCATGTGTTCGAATGCTTGGCCCATAGGGAGTGGCACTGTTAAAAGATGTGACCTTGTTGGAGAAAATGTGTCATGTTGAGGTCTCATATGCTCAAGCTATGCCCAATGTGGCTCAAAGTCTCATTCTTCTGCCTGCATCAAGATATAGAACTCTCAGCTCCTTCTCCAGCACCATGTCTGCCTGTGTGCTCACATGCTTCTTGCTATGATGATAATGGACTAAATCTCTGAAACAGTAAGCCAGCCTCAATGAAATGTTTTTTTTTTTTTTCAGAAATAGAAACCCTAATTAAGACAGCTGGGTATTCAAGTGACAGTCAAGGGAGTAACTAAGTCCAATGATTAGGGGATCTCAGCACAGACAGTTCAGGACTGACTGAATTCTTGTTTTTGTTTTTTCAAGACAGGGTTTCTCTGTGTTACAGTTCTGACTGTTCTGGAACATACTTTGTAGACGAGTCTGGCCTTGAACTCACAGAGATCTGTCTGCCACTATCTCCCGAGTGCTGGGATTAAAGGTGTGCACCACCAGTGCCTGGCTGACTGACTACACTCTTAGAAGCTGTCCCCATGTATCAGGTTTTGGAGACTTCATTTACTGTTTCTGCTCCCAGCCCCTCCCTTCCACTCCAAGCTCTGTAAGCATCTGGCATCTTGGCTGGCGTGTTGTTTCCCAAGACTCCTGGGGGTTCATGCATTTTAGGCTTTGGGCACCCTGGAGACTGGACATTATTTCAAAGCGCTATTCTTTAATGAATGTTCATGCCTCTTTGGGGGAAGAAAATAAGCCTAATCATTCAGTGGAGTGTACACACACATATCACCGAAGTAGCATAGCACATTGCCAAGAGTCAGAAAGATGTGCTTTTGAATCTTAGCTCCCAACTTAACTACAAAATCTTGGACCAGTTAATTAAGTTCTCTGAGCTTTAGTTTCTGGGTCTATAAAAAAGGAGAGTTGCAATACCCACCTCATAGGGTAGCTATGAAGGTTGAATGAAACAAAAGACAACATATTTGGGAATTCTACAGTGCCATGAAAACGTAAGGTAGCATGGTTCATCTTTGTATTTCCAGTCTCTCTGGGACTTGTGTCCCCATCTCATAAATGACAGTATAACATTAAATCATCATTTCTCAGCCCCCAACATATTTTCATGTTTGATAGACACTAGTATCTCACATTTTCTGGAGACTAATATATCACCTTCTCTAAGAGAAACACCCTTTCCACCCATTGTTTGTATAGAACAATCAGACAAAATTATTTATTCAATATAGTTCTACATTCCTTAGTTTGCACTGTGAAAATGCTCATCAAAATACATATTCTGTGGTTACTCTGACATACTATGAAGACAACCTAGGTAGATGATGTCCCAGGGCTATTCAGATCTCATATTAGTGGATTTTAAATTTAATTTAGGGCCTGAGGATGCACTTCAATGGTAATGTGCTTGGCTATCATTCACAAGGCCCTGGGTTTGCCCCCTTTGCACTGCAAAAACAAAACTAAATGCAATTTGGGTGTAGCTACTGGTCTTGGTGCAAGCAGTTACTTATGACAGCCAGTAGAGGGCATGATGGAGTAGGAAATGCCCCCTTTGTGTCAAGAATACTCAGGGACTTGGGAGGAGCTAGGCTGGCTGGTTATCTGGTGGCTGGGAATGAGGGAAGGGAGAAACTTATTGTGGGGAGAGAGACGACTTTGATTCTTACCATTCTTGACTTGAATTGCTGACCCTTGGCCCTGCAGATGTACCACAGCTGGCTGGGAGAATGAGAAGAAGAGAGTCACTGTGATGGCTGCTTGCTAAATCATGCAGTCCCCTTGTTTTTACCTCTGGCTTCTAGACTCCTTTGTATCCCATTTCTGACCCCTTTCCTCTGTCCTGATATTGTAGCTGCATTTCTCTGAAAATTAGTAGGACTCTGTAGCTCTACCACTTCTTCACTATGTGACAAATGTGACACCTCTGAACTGTAATTCCCCAGCTGTAAAATGGGAATCGTAAGACTCTCTGTCTGGCCACTCTCACAAGGGCATCTGCAGATCTAATAAGGCGGTGAATATAAAATTGCCCACAAGCTATCAAGGACTGTGCAACTGTGTAGATTTATCATTGTGAGGGTGGTTGCTTGGAGGACACAAGGCCAGACTAGGTGGTAGAACTTGCCAAGAGACAGATTGGGAAGCTCAAAGACTAGGAAGTACCCTATCAGGATATTAAGGGGGAAGCCCAGGCTGGTCTCAGCCTAGAGTTGGCTGCTTTTCAAAGACACACACTACACACTCTTAAACTTCACAGCTCCAGAGCCCAGGAGTCTGAGTGCCCATTGGGTATCTGGAGTGGTTTGCAAGTCAGAGGCCTAGGTGTACAGGCTTGACAGGCAGGTTATTTTCTGGCTGTAGAGATCCTCTGTTGCTCATGGAATGAGGAAAATGGTCCAGGTAAGGCTGTGTTCCCTTAGCTAAAGGCACATCCTTGGGGCAAAGCTTTTCAGTTCGGACCTTGGCAGTGGCTGCCAGTGAAAACCTTGGAACCTCCAGGGCAACATAATATAAAGCCTCAGGGATTTTCCTAGGAAGCAGACTCCAAGATGACCCCAAAAGCCTGAGGCCATCCCTCCTCCCCAGGAAGTAGCAATCCCCAGCCAACCTGGTTTTCTCGCGTTCCAGTTTTATCAGCAGCACCTGCAAAATAGGACAGGACAGTCAGTGTTGTGCTCTTTTCTACTTACCTTTTTCATTTCAGCAGCCAGGGGGTCACAGTCTGGTTCCTCACAGCTACCCCTGGAGGAATTTTCTCCTTCAGGTCTTACAGCTGGAGGGAGTCACACTACAACATGGGGCCTGTCAATGGGAGACAATAGTTCTGTCTTCCTATTGCTGTGCCAGACCTTCATCTTCAAGGGTCTACATCACAGCAGGGGAACTGGCCTCTAGTCAACAGTGGCCCAAGGCAAGCCCCACTGTGCTCCCATGGGGAGCAACAAGAGGCGATGCTATGCCTGTCCTTGTGTGTCCTTAAGACAATGGCACTTTTTTTTTTGACCCTTTGTTCTTTTCTTACTGACTTCAGAGGGACCACTGTCATTTATAAAGCTCTTGTTCCTTTACATGTGTCTCTTTGACTCTAGGACATAAACTCCGAGAACAGGGACCACTTTGCAATATATATCTTTGTACACAGAAATTGTTCAATTATTATTTGTGGAATGATTGGATAAAAAAAAACAACTTTATCTCTTGTGGCCGTGGTAACACTGCTGAGCCCTGTTTGAGTTACAAGTGAAATAAATCTGTGTTCTGCTGCTGATTTTTTAGACCTAGAGAATTCAGCTGTAAGAGTCCATTTCTTAAAAAAGCCAAGATACAGGAGGGGAGCAGGAGAAGGAAATAACAAGTAGCATAAGTTCAGGCAGTCTGCCTCTTGTCAACTCTAATTAGGCAGGTTTGGATCTGCAGCTGTACCTGTTGCATGCCCTGCTGGGCTCCAGGAGAAAGATGCAAAGGGATGGAATGGCATTTGACTGAGCAGCATGGTATTTAAGGGTGTAGTATGAGAAGCACTTGGCTCAGGGACAGAGTGGTTTTAGTGTCTGGTTTTGCAACAGACACAGCCTGAGTGATTCATAAATTTCTAACCACTTGACTAAAAGTGGCTACTTGTCCACACCAATGGGAAAGGAGTCTCAGAGTACATGGGGGGGGGAGTATGATAAGGTTATCATTTTGTCCAGTCCCCAACATTCCTCCTTACAAACTATTTCCGTGCAAACATCATGTGGCACTCCATGCTGGAAATCAGAGTAGGCCAAATCTGTAAGTACAGGAACTCCTGTGAGTGGCTGGAACCTCTTTCTCATACCTCTGTTTTTGGCTCACATGAGTTTATTGGCTCACTATATGAAGGCCTAGAGCCAAAGATGGAATGTGATGGAAGGGTTGGCATGGGCCAAGAACAGATGGCCTGTCTGGCACAGCTTGATCTCAACAAGAGTTAGAGCAGGCCTGGCCCTACCAGTGCTTGTTCAGTTCCTCACTCTACACTGGACTAGGGATTTCTTACTGTACATCACCACTGTTTGAAACTTCCCTGAAGATTACCTGCTTCTACTCTCCATAAAGCACTGACAAGGTTTCTGAGGTATGGGAGACAGGAGAACTCACCAGAAGGTCCTTGGAGGCCAGGGGGTCCTTGAGGACCAGGAGGTCCAGGAGGGCCAGGAGGTCCCATAACAGTTGTTCCTGGAATTCCAGGAATTCCTGGAATCCCTGGAGGTCCCTGGGGTCCTGGAGGTCCCGGAGGTCCAGGGGGGCCATTGGGCCCAGGGGGCCCTGCTTTCTTTCCTATAATGACAGGGATTCAGTATTATATTTAGAGTTAGTTACTGTGAAGAGTGTACTATCAGGAGTGTACTTTCAGGGGTTCCAGAACTTCCCAATCATACAAGGTCAGCCATCTAGATTTTGCTAAAGAGCTGGACATGTTTATACTCCTTTGTCTGACCTACATTTCAAAGAGCATTTGAAGACATAGCAGTAAACAGCCCTCAAGGAGCCCAGTGCAGTAGGGAAAAGGTTATAAGATAGTAGAAGTGCCACATTAATGAGAGGGACCAAATGCTAAAACAAGTCAGACAAACTTCAAAAAAGGAGGCTTTGATCTGAGTCCAAAGGATAAGAAGTATTAGGAAATCAGATGTAGGGGCCTTTGTGGTTCTTTCTGCAGTTTGCCTGTCGTTGATAAGTGTGGGGCTTCATTTCATGTCCAGTTGGGTGGACTTGATGTGACTAAAAGAGGATAATGGAAGTCTGACCCCAGGAACACATCAGCTCTAGGAAGATTTGTCAGGAGTCAGATGTGCAAGGGATGGGGGTAGATAATGGCAGCACTGGCTACAAAAGGGGAGTGAGAAGGAGGTTTGGAGATAAAGGTGGAAAGAGATGGTGAGGGACTGAAGATATCAAGAAACAAGAGAAAAGAAGGAGTAGCAGGCAGAGAGAGACCTGATGAGGAGGCGGCAGGCACAGCTTTCTCAGCTGACCTCTCTAAACTCTATTTTTAAAGATCCCTGGGAAAGGAAATTCTGCAAACTCTCTTGGTTACATGTTCCAGTGTTTATCACCCCTCACTGCTCACTGTTAGGAAGTTCTTTGGTATATTTAACTGAAATCCCTCCTGTGGCCATTTGAACTTTTATTATATTCTTTGTGTAGCTAGGAAAGAGTAGTTATCACCATATACATAAAACTTCATATACTCAAATACATTAGGTTACCTATCAACTTCGATCTTTGTAGGCAAAATAATCTATCCTCCCAGTATTCTCAAATGCTTTGTTTATCTGGTCTACTCCGACTCCTTCTTTCCTTCTCATTGTATTTCCAGAACACCCTCAGCCCAACCATTTCATATTCTAGTCCTTGTAACATTGCTTCTAGGGTGTTGTCAGGTAAGTGAATCATAACTGTTCCTCCTATAGGCTTTTTTAGCAGACTCACCAAAGACTGTAGGTGGTCATAGATAGGCTTCTTTGTTTTCTTTCTACACTCCTAGAATTTCAATGAAAGTTCTAGGATTGGAAATCACTGCATCTGTCCATGAGATATTATCTCAGTTTCAAATATAAACTTCTGTCTTAGGGTTTCCACTGCTTTGATAAACATCATAACCAAAAGCAACTTGGGGAGGAAAGTGTTTTTTGAATTCTTTGAGGAAAGCCAAAGAAACAACTCAAGGCAGGAACCTAGAAGTAGAAACTGAAGCAGGGACCACAGAAGAATACTGCTTAATGGCTGGCTCCTCAAGACTTGTTCAGTCTGCTTTCTTATACAACTCAGGACCACCTGCCCCTGGGTAGTACCACCCACAATGGGATGGCCCTACCCATACCAATCACTAATCAAGAAAATGCCTCACAGATGCAATTTGATGGAAGCATTTTTCTCAATTGTAGTTCTGTTTCTCAAGTAAGTCTAGCTTGCATCAAGTTGACAAACAAAAACCCCAAATCAGCAAACAATAACATAACAACAACAAAATAACAACCAGGATACCTTTACTTTAAAACTTTCTTACTGGCTCTAACTCCTCATTCCTCACGCATTTTAGTCTGAAAAATTCTGTCCCGATTTATCAGATCCTCATTTAAGAATAATGCTTCATGTGTAAAAAAAGAACCCAAATATTCAAGGAAAGGCCTATAAAGAGATCAAGATTCCATGTCTAAGCACAAGCTCATTTGGAATGTAGCAGTGGATCACTATGGGACCTCCTGTTTAGAGAGGAAAGAGTAGTCCTGAGAACATTTCTTCAAGATGGCCTACAGGACCTTAAAGACTTAGAGGACCAAAGTATGGCATTTGCTCTGAGCTTAGCAGTTAAGATTGGATCTGCCCAGTTTCTAGACCTAGCAAATTTTAAGATGCTAAATAGGAAAACCATCTCACTTTGGATTTGTGTAGCTTCCAAATCAGGCTTATTTGGCACCATATTTCAATTCTAGTTAGTGTAGTGGAAACAACCCAGGATCTGGACTCTGGAGATAAGGATGTAAACCCAAGCCCTGCCACAGTCACTTTGAACCTTAGTTTTTCCATCTTGGAAACAAGGAGCTTGACCTCAGTGCTTTCTGTCTCCTTTTGAGACTGAGGTTCCACAAGAAGGACTGAACTATTGTCACTTAGTAATAGCATGGATGTAAGATGTGCTTCTCCCTGCTTATTTTCTAGTTGGAGTAGACACAAATGTTGATGCATATTAGTCTTTCCTGGGTTTCTGAATTTCCAGGCCTCACAGACTTTCCAGCTAGAGGGTGTTCTGTGGGTAGCACAACTCAAGCTCCAAGAATGTGAGTCCCCTGTAACTGCTTAATTTAATTTTAGAAGAATTACATCCAGAGCTTCCTCCAGTATAAGAAAATAACTGCTGCAGTGTAAACAGAGAGTGATCACTTATGAAAATGTTAGAAGGCATCTGAGAAAAAGTCTCTGATGGAATCTGCTTCAGCAGCTGGCCCTCTGCTTATCTGCACTTGGACAAGGAAGCTCCTCAGAGTTTCATTCCTATAAAAAGTTAGGGCCGCAGATCCATGCAGGGCTCTCACAGGTTCAGGATCCTGCCCCAGCATCACTGGCTGTCAGATTGGAACAGATTTTTCACCTCTCATCTCAGATGACAATGCTGATTAGGCCTGTCTGATAAAATGCAGAATTGAGAAAACCCTGCTGGGGGCAAAGGTGGGGTAATACATTTAAAAAAAGTTAGGGCCAGAGAACAGTATACAGAAAATGACCTCTGGACCAAGAGATTGAATTCCTTCTTTAGATTCTCTAACTTTGACAGAATACTTCATGATACAAAAGCCTAGAGACGTTTGTACTGAGAAAGTTACCCTGTGTAGTCATAGATAAAAGAATAATCACATCATTTCAAAGTTAAACTTCATCAAAGGGGTATTTCCCTAACCTTGCAGCTAAGTCCCAAATGTTGAAAGAACAATGGAAAGCAAGTGAGTAAGGGGAGGCTGGTGTGGGGGCAGAAGAAAAGCTGTAATGGGAAGAGAGAAGGAGAGAGCTATGGGAGTAGGACAATTCCATTAAAGGGGGAAAAATTAAGTGAGCAATTCAATTTACCCCTTCAAGCATGTGCCTATTCACTGTGGCCAAGGAAATCCATATTCAATGGCTTCTAAATCACTTCTAAACAAAGTAGATGTCTAAAGCTTATGTGCATTTTATTTGCAATAATGCTTCATACATAAGGTAGAAATACTAGGCAATCATGTGAACTATAATGTCTATCTTGAAGAGATGTGAGGAGTTCAGAACCAAATGCTTGGAACCAAATTTACTATTTTTTAACAGACAGAGCATCCTAGTAGTGAAACCTGGGAAACAGCAGAAGGACTTCATGCTCACTCCTGCTCTCTGGTGTTTACTGACTTTGTCCAGCCTTTTTTCCTCAACTGGATCACACATTTGTAACCACCTTGTAGATCCTGGGAACCATACCCAAGTACTCTATAACAGCAATGTATGCTCTTATCAATAAGCCAAAATATCTTTGGAGTCCTGGTAAAGGATTTTAAGGTTCACAATCCAAGTTAATTAGGAGGTCTACGCAGGCATATCACTAAGTTTAAGGTCAGCCAGGGCTACAGAATGAGTTCAAGGCCAGCCTGAACAATCAAGTGAGATCATGTCTCATTCAAACCAAGTAAAAGAGGGTTAGTGATGTAGTCTAATAATAGTGCATCTGACTAGGACATCTAAAGCCCTGGGTTAAATTTCCATTATCATACAGACAGAGAAAAAAAGAAGGACTTTTAAAGGGATAACTTACTAGTTTTACACCATCCCTGTCTTTCTTTCATGTCAGAACCCAGAAACAAACCGGTACATAAGCTGATTTCACAGCTGGTTCTTTTAGTGAAAAGGAGTGGATTTTATTTGCAAGTAAGTAAGCACTCCATGTACCCCTGGCTAGTCCCATGTTAGGTGCAATGTGGACTTAAGAAACCAAGCACAGGGAAGAGCTCCAACTAGCATCTACTTCAGAAACATGAAAGGAATAGAGTAACACAGCAGCATAAGTTTTTTTTTCTTCATTGCAGAGAAAATGATATTGAATTCTCAAAGCAATAGATATCATCTTTGATCATCTGGGAAATTGAATAAACACAGCTTTTAGGCTAAGAACCAAAGTATTGATACTTTTCCATAGGTAGTGTTTCTTTTCTCAATAAGTGGTCTTAGGTTTTTATTCATGTCTGATAACTGATCTGCTAAAGGAGGGGGGAAGGGGGAAAGGAGAAAAAAAGAAGGCAGTGTACAGAGCAAGAAAGGAAATAAATATGAGCTGGAAGCAGAGTTGTAAAAAGGAACAAAAAGAACCAAAATAGAGGATTTGGAGTAGATTGTAGTGGTAGAACTTGTGCCTAATATTCTTAAGGCAAAGCTTCTAGGTTTGACCTCCAGTGAAAGGGAAAAGGGAGGACACAAGGGACAAATCATCATCATCATCATCATCATCATAATCATCCAATAAAGATAACTTGCATGTGTTGCTAGAGTCAATTCTATCTTCCATGGCTTGTTACTGAAAACCTGATTCTTGCTCTTTATAAAGAGTAACACTTGAGTAAATGATTGAATAAAGCGATATATAATGAATGTTGAAAGAAATTAGTGCAAAATCCTACTTCATTCATTTTTTTCTAATTAATATAATAAAATCAAAAGCTCAACTTACCCTTTTTCTTGTTTTTAACAGGACCTATTAGAAATAGAAGATGGAAGATTAAGTTAGTAGAAATTTAAAATTTATTCTCTAGAAAGTCACTAAGAGGGATCCTCAAGGCACTGCAGATTTAATGGAATCCCACAGCTATGGACCAGGTTTTAGAAATGGTATCCATTGCCCAATTATCAAGCTTCTCTCATCTGTTTGCTGGCTGTTGAAATACATGAAAAATACATGGAGGACTCCTCCCTTAAGAAAAACCAAAACTGTCTACTTTAGTTAGGAGTGAGTGAAAGGGTATTCCTTTGTAGAGATGAAATGCCCAGAAAAGCACAACTCAACAATCTCAGGATGACATTCCAGTACTTCTGCAAGTCCTGAGGTTGCAGAGTCATGCATTCAGGTGAAACTGTGACACAGTTTCAGATGGGGATACTAGAAGGGAAAAAGAGGTGTTCTTATGGAAAGAGCAGCACAATAGTAGTTTACTTTCTGGTCACTTCTTTATTGTGATTTAATTTGTTAGTTATTAGAACAGTGCAACCATAATCCACATGTACTCCCACAGCAATTTACCATAACTTAATAGATGCTTTAAAGGAAATGTCAACAGTTTCATTGGTAGTGCAATCAGAAGTGTCTTCTCATCTATTGCTTCTAAGGAGAGCAGTTTAAATCAATGCGGAGAACTCAGAAAACCAAAGGCATGTCTAATATAGTTACGTGGTGTTAGATGACAACCACTCCCTAGAAAGACATAGTTTAGGTCTCAGGTCACTTTTATTCATAGGGATTCAAGTTTCTTCTTTCTTCAGATGAATCTAACATGTTTCAGACACAGGTATTTAAACTCTGTTCCAACTTGCCACAGACCAATATTTCACAGGACTAAACAGTCATCAGTGTCCTTAGGAGCATTCTATAGTCTTTACTGATCATGCTTCTGTGTATTATCTAACTTGATTCTTGTAACAAGTCTAGAATGATCTCTACCTATGAGATCTGGTTTCATAGGAAGCTAATAGAGTCTCTAATCTGGAAGATTTCCAGTCTGTTTAGATTTCCCTCACAAAGAAATGTGTAGGAGTAGGAATTGTATGCACTGTGCAGATGCTTCCTGTTTGGTGGAGTGGTTGAGGATCATGATTTTCTCAATTCATATTCTTCTTTTCCTTATGTCTTCTCCTCCTAGTCCTTTGTCATCTTGATGTTTTGGATTTTTGACATAGGGTTTAAATGTGTAGTCTAGGTTGGCCTTGAACTGTAATCCAACTGCCTCAGTCTCCGAGTGCTGGGACACAGGCATGAGCCATACCTGGCTCCTTTATGTTGGTTTTCAAAACATTAAGCATTCCTGAGAATGTGCATAAAGGTTCTGACCGGGAAACATGGCTAGGACTGGTTAAGAGACAACAACATAACCTTATTGAATAAGAAAATCATTTAAGAAACTATTTATACAGTCCCACCAGCTAGCTACCAATTTGGAAATCTGCCACTCATAAGCAAGAACAGTAGAATGACAGCTGCTGGTGCTGCACTGCCCTTATAGCCAAGGTGGCCTAGCCCTGGTCTACTTTTTAGGTATTTCAGCTAGTAAAGGGATAGTGCTATTGTATCAGACGATGAGGAAATCAAGACATTGCCAGCCATCTGGTCTTTTCTGGCCATCTCTATGGAAGATAGCACAGTAAATAGTGCCCAAACACTACCATCAATAGAATTTAGAAATTGGATAGGAAAATACTAAATAAGGGGTGCCTCAGGAGTCATGTTTGCTAGTTGAGTTGAATAAAAGTTTTGGGGACGTTCACCACTATTTCTAGGAGTCTTAGCTGGGGTCATCCTTGTGGATTCCTGGGAACTGGCCTTCCCCTTTAATCAGACTAGTGACTACCCTAATTGTCATCATAGAACCTACATCCAGTAGCTTATGGAAGCAGATGCAGTGACCCACAGCTAAGCACTGATTTGAGCTCCTGGAGTTCGGTTGAAGAGAGGGAGGAGGGATCATATGAACAAGGAAAGTCAAGAGCATAATGGGGAAAACCAGAGATAGCTGACTTGAGCTAGTAGGATCTGGCAGACTACAGACTGACAGTTAGGGAGCCTGCATAGGACCAAATTAGGCCCTCTGAAGGTGACTGACAGTTATATGGTTTGATCTGTTTGGGGTGGGGGTTGCTGGTAGTGGGACCAGGACCTATCCCAGAGGCATGAACTGGCTTTTTGGAGCCCATTCCTGATAGTGGGATACCTTGCTCAGTCTTGATGCAGGGGGAGGGGCTTGGTCCTGCTTCACCTTGGTATGCCAGACTTTGTTGACTTCTCAAGGGAGGCCTTACCCACTCTGAGGAGTGGATGGAGAGTGGGATGGGGGAGATGGAAGGGGTGGAAGAAGGAGGGAGAGGGAACTGTGGTTGGTGTGTAAAATGAAAAAAAAAATAAATAAAAATGCTTTAGGGAAAAAGTTCTCCTTAAATGTACAAGTGATAAGAGGGAAAGGGGACACCTTTCATTTGTTTGTTTGGTTTTGGACAGAGGGCCTTACTATAGAACCCCATCTCAGAGCAATCCTCTTGTTTCAGTCGTTCAAGGGGTTGGGATTTACAATCATGTGCCACAGTACACCTGATTTAGGAAAGGAAATTTAAAAACAATTTCTACTATAAATCTGGCCAAGACTCTGTGATTAGGGAGCTCACAAGCTCTAGGGGTGAATCTACTACTGCTATTATTAGTGTAGCTTTCAGAGAAGTGTGCAGTGGTGGTGGTTAATGCAGAAACTCACAAGTGGTCAAAGTGCAGAGAATAAGTGTTAGTGGAGTGCTCAGAATAAACTATTGTGCTGGCTAGTTTTATGTCAATTAGATACAAGCTAGAATCATCTGAGAGGAGGGAACCTCAACTGAGAAAATGCCTTCATAAGACTGGGCTGGGCCAGGTGGTGGTGGTGTACTCCTTTAATCCCAGCACTCAGGAGGCAGAGGCAGGCGGATCTCTGTGAGTTCAAGGCCAGCCTGGTCTACAAGAGCTAGTTCCAGGACAGGCTCCAAAGCCACAAAGAAACCCTGTCTCAAAAAAACAAAACAAAACAAACAAACAAACAAACAAACAAACAAAAACCCAAAGACTGGGCTGTAGACAAACCTATAGGACATTTTCTTAATTAGTCATTTAGAGCAGAGGGACCCATGGTGGGTAGTGCCATTCCTGGGCTGGTGGTCCTGGGTTCTATAAGAAAGCAGGCTGAGCAATCAATGAGGGGCAAGTCAGTAAGAGCATCTCTTTGTCACCTCTGAATCAGCTCCTGCCTTCCAGGTTCCTGTCCTGTTTGAGTTCCTGGCCTAACTCTCTTTGATGATGAACTGTGATGTGGAAATGTAAGACAAATAAACCCTTTCCTCCACAACTTGCTTTTGGTAATGGTGTCTCATCATAGCAACAGTAACCCAAACTAAGATAACTATCTAACATATTTCCTCCTCCCCATAACACCCAGGGTCTATCATGGATGAGGACTCGTCTTCCAGACATGACAGGATAGGTGCATTCATGAACTCATTACAGCTGTGGTCGCCCATGCAACACAATAAGGCAGCATGGATGTGTCAGTGGCAGTCAGTTTTCTTTAGGAGTATGGCCCCCTGTAGGTCTATCATCCTCTGGTGGACGGTCCCACACCCATAAGTATATGGGCAAGCACAAATTAAACTCAGTGTGTTAGCCAAGAAATGTAAACATCTAGATGTCCATCAACTGATTAGTGGATAATGAAAATGTGGTGCATGTATACAACAAAGTATTATTCAGCTGTTAAGAAAAACAAAGTTGTGAAATTTGCAAGTAAACAAACATTCTGAGTGCGATAACTCAAATTCAGAAAGGCAAATGCATTTTTCTCATTTGTAGATGTTAATTGTTGTTGCTAATTTTTTCTTTCATTTTTTTGTTTTTTTTTTTTTTTGAGACAGGATCTCTCTATGTAACCTTGGCTGGTTTTTGGTTGTGAGCCTAGCCTTTAACGGCTGAGCCATCTTTCCAGCCCCTTGGCTGGTTTTTAACTTCCTATAAACACCTGGCTAGCCTTAAACTCACAGAGATCTGATGGGAGATGTCATTCTGTAAATATGTTTCTCTTATTGGTTAATGAATGAAGCACTGTTGGCCAATAGGAAAGGAAGATAGGCGGGATGAGGAGACTAGGAGGAGAGAGTAATAGGGAGGAGATTAAAGATGGAGTATGGAGAGAGAAGAATTCTGGGGTCTCTCTCTGGTAAGATGAGACTTCGTGGAAATACTTAGATTAATAAAATGGGTTAATATTTAAGACAGAGCTAGTCAATAAGAAATGCTAGTAACAGGCCAACAGAATTATATCTAATACAGCATCTCTGTGTGTTATTTGGGGTTGTTGTGGCGGTGGGACCAGGCCAGTAGGAAAAATTACTCATAACGGAGATCCACTTGCCTTTGCCTCCAGAATGGTAGGACTAAAGATGTATGTCACTACATTCCACTCAATGGATATTACTTTTGGATCTTCAAATATTTGTATTTCATCTGGAATATTCATATAGGGGCTATGGGGGTGGGGCTTTCAAGGGAGAGGAGATAGAATACTATGGAGTAATGGGAGAATAATGGAGCAGGAAGGATTAAAAGGAGTTGGGGATAGAGGGCAAGGTAGAGGAGGGAGTATAGGGATGGGTAATTAACACTAAAGACCCTTTCAAAGAGTCATATGGAAACTTAATATTGTAGAAGGTTCCTAAAATATTCATTCATTCATACATACACACATACATTATTTTGGAGTTATTCTAATGCAAGGCAACAATGATCCTATTAGATTCCATAGGATAACAAATAAAAAGCTCAGTGCCAGGAATGGGTTGCTCTTCTAGAGTTGTTGGATAGTGAGTTCCTTTAGACCCTCACCTCTCGAACAATATAAGCTCTAGGCTACCTTCCAGAATTTAACGATAAGACCCTATTGCTGAAGGCACCACACACATGAGTCATAGAACATG